AGTCAGTAGGGGGGAGAGAGCGCTCAGGAGAGGAGACCTGAAAATCCCGTCTTATGATGGGCTAATTGGCTAGTTGTTCAAAGAAAAGAAGTAAAATCTTTCTTTACACCTGGATAATTTCAATGAGTTGCAATGGCTCATCATCAGTTCCTTGTTCTTTATTGCTGGGTTAACTGTATACTAAGATCGTTGCAATTGGTGCTAGTCAGAAAGCCTTCATTAAAGGTTTGAGGCAAAACACTTTGTATGAAAATATTCTTTCTCTTTCACAGCCAGCTCTGTTGACAGTGGGATTTTATCAGCATGTTGTTAGGAGACATTTGGCATCATGTTGATCGTTTAGAGACACGTCACTTCACTTCAGCACACCTCTCTGATGTATGGCAAAGAGCTACATTACTGTAGAGCTGACAAAAGGGGAACCTCGTCTGCTTAGTGTATTTTCATCCATGTGGCTAAGTGGCATATAATTAAAGAAAGTGGCTTCTCCTCAAAGGCCAGTATTCCAGGGGTGGATGTCACAGGAGCTGTTTGAAAACTGACTCCTGATGGGTGCATTTTGACAACTGGTTAGAGCACTTAAACTGAATAGATATATCCACTGACTCCTGAAGCTGTGAGTGTGAATTGGTGATTTAACAGTGGTGGGAGTGTGCAGGTTATGGAGTGTGGGGGAAGGGAGAGGAGTGTTAATTGCAGATCTCTGCTGCTGAAGAAAGTTCCGCTCTTGGTACTGTAAAACTAAGACATACACTGAGGTTTGCAAAATGTTATTTTATTGCTGTTCTTTGAGTGACTGTCACATCAACGGCAGGCCTTGCAGATTTGCATATAACTAAATAGCATCATGGTTTCACTTTAGTGCTAGAGAGTAAGATGATTTTTGTAGGGCTGTGAACAGGTAATGCTTACTGGCTCCAGGTAACTAGTCAGGGCTTGAGCAGCTCCCCACCTGCTGCAGGCAGGGGGCTGCTCTAGCCCTGCTGGGCACATGCTGTGGACGGGGACTAGGAGGCAGGGACTAGGAGGCGGTCCAGCCCCCATGTGGATCTGAGAACCTGGGGCAGCCCAAGCCTCCACACAGGGCTGGGGGCAGTTTCAGCCCAGCGGCAGCAGTCTCCAGCCTGGATCCCACTTAGTTGATTAACCGGTTAAACATCAACCATTAGGTCAACCTAATGTTTAACCGGTTAACTGATTAACCAGGATTTCACACCCCTAGTTCCTTTTTGCCAAAACCAGCATGTCCCATGTTGGTCTCTGATCTGCATGTAGCATATTGTACTAAGCAGGTTCCTTCCTTTTTTTAGGAGACAGTAGCAGAGGTGGAAGAGTCTGGCATGGATAGGTCTCCCCGTAATAAGGAGACTTCAAACTACGCCCAGAAACGTAAGGCGGTTTTACTGTATTCTATATCTACAGTGTACCATTGAGGTTAAGAAATGGAACATATTTTGTGATTGAAGCATTTATGAACAACTAGATTTCACCATACAAAGATACAAGAAAGTGTCCTTCTGTCCTCTTCCTTAGCAGCTGTGAAAAGCTAATAGCAGTATCGACACCCCTTCCATCAGTCTCGTCTCTTTATAAGGGATTAAATTGATACGATGTAATTCACTCTGCTATTGAATGTTTCCCTTTTTATGTTTACAAAGGGAAAGACTTAGAACTGTTCGCATTTTGGGTTTTTGTAATCCGTCCTTGGTTTAAAACAGTCAGGAATGGCAGCACTTGTTTACGCTTAGACTCCAAAGTCCGTTAACTCAGTCTGAATAGATGTGTGCACCAGGTTACGTGCAATTACATAAACGTGTTGGCCTTTGTTTATTATCTCCAACCACAGGAGAAATTCCTAGTTAGGGCTAAAATCCAGGAGGGTTATGCTTCTAATTTAAGTTCTTAAACAGCTTTGCTTCCCGTATTAAAGGTTTTGAGAAGAGTATTACCTTTATGTAACACAAGTCCGATGTGCTATGGTATCGAGGTCCAATGAAATCTGGTTACAGCGGAGTGTTGGCCTAGATTTTTAACCCAAACGTTATCTGTCATGGGCTTGCCATCCTCGTGCTCAAATAAGGTTTGTGGTGTTAGGCTTGTTAGAGGAGAGAGTTTATGGAGTAAGATCACATAGTTCTGGGCTTGGGTCATTACGGATTGTGCAATTTTAGAGCTGAACATAGGTATCAGGCCAAAATCATCCAAAATCAAATTGAAGAATTTGTCCATTTAGACCAGGAGTCTCTAACTCCCAACCTGCAGGCCATCCCCTGCTATCTGCCAACGCGCTCTGCTTCCCCTATGGTTTCTTATGCTGGGTGGGGAGGTGTGACCACTGCCACTGCGCCAGGCCCTCCCACAGTAATCCCCAAAGCCATGTCCTTGAGGGGCCAGGTGAGGGCAAAAAGGGGCAGGCTTGGGGTTGGTAATGGACAGGCCCTCCCAGCCCACCAGGAGTCCCAGGCTGGATTGTGCGATGTCCCAAGGGCTGGGAGTTTGAGACTCCTCATTTAGACATTCATTGATTTCAAGGTCATCTTAGACATTTGGCATGTTGCTGACCTGGTAGATTGTAGCTATAATGCTGTGACTAAGCCTTGGACGTGATAGCTGGCAAACCTTGCCAAGCTCAAGTACTCCCAGGTCTTTCTTTTTTGTGGTACTCCACAAATCTTGAACATGAATACGTGTTCCTAGATGAGTTTGTCCATATGTCCCCTTGGCTTTCCGAACTTCTTCAGATTAAGAGATTCTTTTATCCATAGCAGATTCAAGGGGACTCGAGGATTTTTCTTGCATGCTTGGAAGCCCTGGAAAAGAGGAGATATTCTGTACTGACATTGCCTACTCGGAGCAAGCAGCCATTTTGCACAAAGGATCATTTCTACGGGAGTCTAGGAAGATAAAGGAAGAGAGCGCCCTAACTGTAAGGGCTGTATGGCACTTCCCCCTTGAACCTTATCAGAGAGAACCCTTGGGAACATAGTTCGTTTTATGTTTTCAGGGTGTTGAGCGGGTTAGACTTCTGGGTAAGCATAGTAGAATGGTGCACATGTGAATGGGGACTTTGGGCATTCGTAATGCATTGATAAGTAAAGGGAACTGAGTTGTGATAAAAGTCAGCAGAGGAGGTATCGCTGCACTGAATCTTAGCCGACTGAACTCCTACAGTTCTGCATTGCTGGTGTCTGGTCTGCTTGCACTTCCTCTTTCCATTGTACATTAGCGGAAGGATAATAACCAGAGCCAAGGTGCTATGCTGAGGAATTTTGACTTACATACGAGGAGGCTCTGTGAAACCTGTAGGAAGCTGTTGGACCCCTTTCCGAGGGCTACAGTGGATTGGGAAGGGCTTGTGTACTGAATTTGCCTGACAAAATTAGGATCCCAAATAAGACAACAATCCAGGAAAAGCAATGGCAAAACAAATAAACTCTCTAGTGCATAGCAAATTCTCTTATTTAATTCTCATGTGCATTCGCCTCTGGAACTGTAAGCTGGCTTGGGTCCAATCCAGATTTGGTGGCAGACAAGGTGATTGCAATAGTTGAGACAAGAGGAAGTGAGTGTGTGGATAAGAACTTCCTGGGAGGTGGAGCAGAAGTAGTGGTATGCCTGGGTAGTAATTTGTGGCAGGTAAGAGACATACAGCTGTAAGAGCAGTAGAAAGAAGTGATAGGGGGACACACAAGAAAATGAACAGAATTATCTGTCTCAAACCTTACTTCCTGCTATTCTTTCTCCCTAGCAGTTTAAGATCCCCAAGGGCAGGCTGGGAGTGACCCGGATAGGAGACTTGTCTCCTCAGGACATGAAGAAGATCCCCACGTTGGCCCTGATTGAGCTGACGGCTCTCTGCGACGTCCTGGGCTTGGAGTTAAAGAGGAACAAGGCACCCAAGCAGAAGGCAAAAGGTCGGTGTAGCCTCAGTTCCTGTTGCCCAGCTTGAACAATGAGGTCTTGGTAGCACTAGACTTCCTTGCAGACGCTATCTAATCAACTTGCATCCAGAGGAAAGATGATTGAGATCTTGTACGTACTTAATTGTCCCCTGAGACCAGAACCTGAGTTTGTGATTCTCACTGCTGCCCTCCGGGTGACCCCTATTCCAGGAGTGGGGAATTTTTTGAGGATCGTGAGCCACTGGTCCACAGAAAAATCAGTTGGGGGCGGCACACAAGTAAGAAGCCCTCCCTCCCCCGCCAAAACCCCCACATCACTGGCATGGCTCCTGATTGAGAGAGAGAGGCAGTCCCCACATCCCCCTCACATGCCAGAGCCTAGTGGGGCCCAGGCTAGTAGATTTTGTGTGCCCCAGTCCAGCAGTAGGTGCAGGCTCTCCAGTGCAGGGGCAAGGAGCCTTGAGCTTCAGGGGCTGGATCCAGGCAAGCTGGGGGGCTACATCTGGCCCTTGGGCCTGAGGTTCCCCACCCCTGTCCTGTTCCTTTGCTCTGTCTACTGTTCCTCTTTCTTCCAGCGACTTGGGTATTGATAAAGTGTAGTTCTCATTTTCAAGGGAAGAAATACTCCTTTGAACAGTAACAGTAGTAAAGAATTACAGGTGCATTGTCCTTAATGCAGAGAATCGACTCTTTGGGGTTCCACTCGGCACTTTGTTGGAAAATGACCAAAAACTCATCCCCAACACCAAGGTCCCGCTGATTCTCCAAGCAGTAAGTTACCTTCAGAATTCACTCGCACGTGAGAGCTCTGCTTTTGGTCTTGAGCCTTAAGCTGAAAAGGCTGCCATCAGATCTGTATTGAGAGCTTTCTGTCTCCCTTGTAGTTGCTGTCATGTTTGGAAAAGAAAGGGCTTGACACTGAAGGCATCCTGAGAGTTTCTGGGTCCCAGATCAGGATTAAGGTACAATCATTTCGCTAATACCAGTCTAAAGTGTAGGCGTACTTGTCAAGAGATCATGTTGCATGAGCCTTGCATATGGTATTACCTTATTTAAAGTGATCCCTAGTCACCTTGCCCCCACAAATGATGAATATTCACTGATGCAGAGCCTGCTAGTAGGTCTGTGTTGTGAAGCACTCACCAGTGTGTGCGTTGTTGAGGGTTGCCCTGTTTAAGATCCCCCTCAGATTCCCTTTCTGCGTGAGTGAAAGTGTTGACGTGTTTCCTCTCTACAGAACCTGGAGCAAAGGCTGGAAAGTGACTTCTACACCGGTCTGTTTCGCTGGGATGAGGTCCGTCAAAATGATGTGTCTGGTTTACTGAAGAGATTCATTCGAGAGCTGCCCGCCCCTCTGTTGACAGCCGAGTATCTGCCAGCTTTTGCGGCTGTGCAAAGTGAGTCCATTTCCGGAGAACCTGGCCTTAGCAGCCTTGGTTTGTCTTCTAAGTTCTGTTCTCCTACGTGGTACGTGCCAGCTGAGCTTTTCTGTTCTAGGCAGATAGCAACTGGATTCAGCCAATCAGACACTGCACCTCGGGTACAGAAAACACTAGAATCTTTCTTGTTTCCAGTGGTGCCCTGCTGACAAGTGCCATGCAGAAAACACATATTGGAATAGCATTATGTAGTACTGTCTGGGACCAGCTTGTGTACAAACACATGGTAAAAGCTGTCCTCTAAGTAGAGCAGATCTGCTGGGCAGGCCATGTTGCAAGGATGCCAGATCATCGCATCCCTAAACAGCTCTTCTATGGTGAGCTGTTTCAAGGGAAGCGATCGCACGGGGGACAAAAGAAGCGATACAAAGATACGCTTAAAGCCTCTCTCAAGTCCCTGGATATTGACACCACCTCCTGGGAGACCCTGGCACAAGACCGATCAACATGGCACACGCTGATCTACCAAGGCTGTCAAACATCTGAAGCCAGAAGGACAACCATAGCACAAGAGAAGCGAGCACTCCGTAAAGCCAGAGTTGCAAAAGCTGCAACAGTGGTGCCCACACATGTCTGCCCGACATGTGGTAGAACATTCCGTGCCCGTATCGGCCTTATCAGCCATTTGCGGACACACCATGAACAGTCCATAACCCGTTAGATGTCAAGATCCTCTTCGAATATGATGGACGAACAACAACAACAACAAAAGTAGAGCAGATCAGTAAAAGATGGGAGGGAAAATACAGAGCAGAAGTGAGTGGCCCTAGGACAAACAGTAGGTCAGTGGCAGAACCAGGAATAGAGAACAGCCTTCTAGTCTCCATTGCCCCCTCCCCTCCATTGGACCATGTTGCCTCCTCCATAGCCTGGTCTAATGCATAGTTTGCACATCTCTGACCTGGTCCCCCACTCCCTTCTCCCTCTGAGTCTCAGCTAGAACATGGCTCCGGTTCCCTTTTCAATCCATTTAATGTGGTGAATTTTTCAGGTCTTGAGCGGCTGCAGTGGAACAGTCTTAAATTAACTTTTATTAATGCTCACTCAATCCCTAGTTTTCTGCACTTCTATCCTTGCTGCTGCAGGAGGAAATAGGGAGTAACAGTTAATGCATGTTCTAGGAATCCAGGCTCTTGAGTGCTGCTAGTGGCTTTGCCACAGAGTTGCTGTGTTGATTAAAACAAATCACAGCCTCACTGTTTCTGTTTATCCGTCTCTGCAATGGTTATAATCTGTCTCCTTTCAGGGGTGCTAAGAGATCCATTAATTCTGTCAAAACACTCACACTTCTCAGTGCCTATCCCAGAATCAAAACAATTTCCTTAGGTCCTTTGGAAAATGTTACCCTCAGACCTTGGAGCCTAATTGCCATTTTCCAAAAGTGACTCAAGCTCTGAAGTTTCATTGAGTCAGTAGGACTCAGGCTTCTATGAGCTTGTCTACATGGCATCCCAATCTGGACTTCAAGGGTGTGAATTGTAGAGTTCTTTAACTGCTCTGTAGAGAGAGAGCCCTGCATGGCTACAACATTTATTATCCACATTTTCAAGAGGGAGCCACGACTATCCACGCATAGAAAGTGGATACCTGCAGATTTACAGGGTTCTAGATGCAAAATTTGTATCCTCATCTGCATCTACAAAAATGAGCCACAGACATCCACGTTCATATCTGTGGCTATACAGTGGCTGTCAGTAGATTTGCTGGGCTCTATGTATATAGACCCTGCTAAAGCAAACTAAATACAAGGCAGTTACATTACTCTGTGGTTCATGCTCTTGTCCAGACTGCAGCACCTTGTAGACAATCCCTAAATGACAGGTGTTTTGGTAAGTTTTCCCCTGGCGTTTTCCCCAGATTGATGATACGTGTTTTGCAATAGGGCACCAACCTGTTCAGAACTCTGATTTCATGTCATTGTTCCATGTTTAATTAGACTCCCAATTATTTTGCGCGTGTGCTGTTGCTGTTTGATGGGACATAGTGCATTTTCCCTACTGTAGATATCCTAGACCTGAGGCAGAGATTGCAAGCACTCAACCTGCTTATTCTGATTCTGCCAGAGCCCAACAGAAACACCCTAAAGGTAATAACCACCTTCTGCTGTATCGGTTGTATGAGAGAATGTGAATCTTTTCAGAGAACCTTTGTTTTGATATCAGAGAGAGAGAGAGAGAGAAAGAGAGCAGTATAAGCAATGTGGGCTGTATTCTTCGATCTCTCTTCAACCCTATCATCTTATCTAGGTGTGGATGCCTGGGGCCAAACAAATTTCCATGTGAGTTCCGTGGGATCGCCTCGTTTATGCATGTAAATTTAGGAGTAGCATAAATTGTGGCTCGTCAGGGTGCATCACTTATCTCCATGTTTGAAATTCTGGCTCTTCCTATTAGAATATCCATTGACCAAAGTCTCCTTAGCTCCTGGATTGATGCCAAGATGCTGCTGATCTTGGTGATTCTTGTGTAATGTCTGTTTAAAACTTGGAAATAGATGCTGCAAAAGAACTTTCTACCCCCACGCTGTTCAGACTGCATAGCCGTGGAAGCGATATCAGAGCAGCTAATTTTGAACTAGAGAATGTTTCTCCATCAGTTTTGTGGTAATGCAGGACGTTTGGTTTTTACTTGTGGTGGTTAGCAGTTTGGGGATCCAAGTGTCAGGAGTACTGCACAAGCCATATCCTCAAGTCCCTCCTGAGCTGCTCTGTAGTGCCATCTCCAGGGGGTGAATCTACACTGCAGAGCTTAACTCGAAAGAAGCCATGGAAATTGAGCTATGTCAATTGCATAGCTTATTTCAAAATAGCTTATTTCAAAGTTGGGAGCATCTACACAGCACTTATTTCAAACTAGAGCATTCTTCCTCCAACTTCCCTTCCTCTTCGCACAATGAGGGTTACAGGAGTTGCCATAGGAAGTCTTTCAGTTTGACAGTATTTTGACATTATTTCATTATGTAGCTTTTCCTTGTGAGGGATCTTTGGAATCTGAAATCCAGAGTGAATTTCAAGGGATGCAACCTGCCACTGATCAGGGCAGACTTCACCTGCCTTGTGTGCAAACCACCTTGACTTTCCTGACTTTTGTGAACAAGATGTACCTTGCTGTGTTGTGGCTTGTGGAGCAGCTAACTGATGACTTCTTAGTGCTAGGATCTGACCAACAAGCCACCTGCACTTGTGGCCTAACTTAGGGTTTGAAAAGCTATTGACATTAACCCATCTAACCACCTTGTGCTTGCCCAGTCAGGTTTGCTAAATCAGACGATTATTAGATGTCTTCACCACCAACCTCTCTTTCTCTTTCAGGCTCTGCTGGAATTTCTTAGTAAAGTTGTTGCTAGGGAGAAAAAGAACAAAATGAATCTCTGGAATGTTTCCACAGTCATTGCTCCAAATCTCTTCATGCATAAAGGACTGGCAAATAAGATCCCAGAAGGGAAGGAGAAGCAGCTGGCAGAAGGGGCTGCAGACGTTGTGCGGATGATGATCCATTACCAAGACTTGCTCTGGACTGTAAGTCACGTGGCTGTTTGTGGGATGATAGCAAGCTGAGTGTGACTCAGTGAGATAATCCTGGAGATCTTAAAAGAAACAGAACTCTGCAGACAAGTTGTTTGGCTAAACTCTGTTGCTATCTTTGCTGCTCTGAGGGCACATAGGCGAGTGTTGTGTTATGTCTATGGAATGTTGCTGGGTTTTAGGGACTTTTTCCTATTTACAGTAGAAGTCTTTGAAAGTCTCACTGATTTCTCTGCAGGACACCTGGCTTATGGGTGTGATAGACATAAAGAGTCCCTTAAAGAGCACTGCATGTTGCTGGAGTGATTTTTCTGCAGATGCCCCAAGTGGCTTTCTTCTTCTGCAGGGTTGAAAATGGGTGGGAATTTGCCACCCTCCATTCACCATTGAGCCCGTTAGCCTTTTAACGTAGGGAAAACATACACATGCGCCAGTATAACTGCCAATGTATATTGCAGCCATGCTTCCTGAGTAGCTATAGAAATGAACTGTCTAGTCCTTGAATGTATTCATCCACATGCCCTTCTCCATTTATTCTATTTTTACGGTTTGTTTTTATTTCCCTTAGATCTCCTCTTTCCTGGTAGCTCAAGTGAGAAAACTGAATGAGAGCAGCAGCCGGAGGTACCTGTTCTACGACAAACGGATCAAAAACTTGCTACGGAAGATTCACACAGACAAGGACAAGGTGGAGAAGAACCAGGCAGAAGTAAGCAAGCTGAATCCTCTCAGAAGAGGGTTGAATAAGGATTTCCTGCTAAACATCCTCTCATGAATGAGAAGTGTTTGCCAGTGGGGTACTTTTTTCTTTTTAAACAGAATTAAAGAGAAACAGCCTTAGAAGCATTAGAACAAACACCTCATTCATCTCACTGGCTTGCTGCAAAATGCCTAATACGCTTAATGCCAGGTCTACACTATGGGAGACAGTCATCCTAAGATACGCAACTCCGGTTGTGAGAATAGCATAGCTGGAGTCAATGTACCTTACGTCAAATTTTTGCGATGACATCTCTATGGGAGGTCAGAGGAGAAACTCTCTCATCGACTTCCCATACTCCTCCTCACCCCGTGGAGTATTATGGTCGATGGAGGTGCCATCAGTGGTCGACTTAGCAGGTACTTACTAGACCTGCTAAAATCAGTCTCTGGGGTAAGTTTAAACCTGGCCTTACTAAATTTCTCAGTTCTGTGGTCTAAATGCTATGTGCTCTCAGGATTGTACGTGAGGACGGAAATCTGAAATGGTGGTGGTTGGTGCAGCTGAGAAGACAAGATTCAAGTATAAACTTGACACAACTGAGGGTTTGGCCCTGTAACACACACAGTCTGTGTCTCGATTACATCGCTCTTTCAACAGAGGGATGTAAATTAGGCACTTCGAAATTGCAAATGAAGCTGGGATTTGAATTTCCCGTGCTTCATTTGCATAATTACATTCTGGCGCGCTTTAAAAAAACCTCAGTTTACAGGCGCTTTCAAAAAAGCCTTCCCTTTTTGAAAGAACCACGTCTGGACTGCAGTTTTTCTTTCAAAATAACTCTTTCTCGTAAGAGCGCCATAACTTGATTATGGAAATGAAGCACGGGAAATTCAAATCCGGCTTCATTTGCAATTTCGAAGTGCCTAATTTACAGCCCTCTGTCGAAAGAGGGAAGTAATCTATACACAGCCACTCTGGCTTATCTTACTGATGCATAGTGACTCTTATTGCAAGTGCCAGCTAGAAACCTAGAGACAAGGGCAGCAGCCTTCGGATACCTGTCCATCTCTCCTGCTATGCTTTTGTGCTCCCAAAACACTTGTTCTTATGACTAGGATTCCATCATACAGGATTAATGAGTAAAGATGCTGGATATTAGAAAATAATAGATCCATGACTAGGGATCATAAGCTGTGAGATCATACAAAGTATAGTCATTCACTGCGTTTGTTTCCACATAATTTTCTTTCCCATGGATACTGACAAATCTTACCCAAATTGTGTTTAAAGCAAGTTGCCAAACAGGAGC